GGAATCTTCGAGTTGAGGAAAACAATTTCGTGCCATTCATTTAAAACAGGAATTTGTGAAGAGGGAGAGGCAGATGGCGGGGAGAGAAAATAAATGAACTTACCCCCCAAAAGAAGAAAAGGGGAGGGTGCAGGCCCCCCGGGGAGGAACGGTCCCACACAGCTAGGGTTCACAGGTTCTGGGCCCAGGCCCGGCAGAGCCTCCCCATCCACCCCCTTTTCCTCTCCTCACTGCTCAGCAGCCGTGAGCGGCCTCTGAGGGGGACGCTGGGCCGGCTTGAGGGGCACAGAGTCTGCAGAGTGTGCGTACTGGTTCTGTCTTAAAGCTGGGGCTCCAGGGCTGGATGAAGGGAAGTGTGACAGCTTCTGGGACTGAGTAGAAGTCTCAGCGGAGAGGACAGCACGGGAATCAGGGGAGCCCCACACTCCAGCTCTCAGACACCCCAGGGCTTCCCCAGGCCATGCCCACCCATTCCCTACCCCGGAAAGAGGGCCCCACTTTTCCAGGAATGGGGTGCGATGCTGCTGAGTGGCAGGTTCTCCGGGAGGGCAGGGGCAGAGTGTGGGGGTGACCTGGGGAGGCACTTCCGGACATCGGCCACTCCCAGCCCCGCTCCCTCCAGCCTCACTCTCACGCGGGCGGCCAGCGGGCAAGTCCTCTGGCTGCCAGTGATCTCTTCTTCCGAGGGGCACCCCAGCCCCCCTTCCTTCCTCACCCCCGTTTAGCCCTCTGCACAGTGTGCGCCACTGGGGAGCATGTTGTGGCTGTCCCTTCACTGCAGGTGAACCCCGTCTAAGCTTGGGACCTGCCACTGCTGCCCCCCATGCCAGGCCCCTTTTCCCGGCCTCAGTCTGTCCTTACAAGACCCTAGAAGATTTCCTTCCTTCCTTCCTCCCCTTCCTGTGCCTGTCTCTCCCTCTTAAATTTCCAGAAGCGGGGACGGGGAAGGATTTCGAGTTGAGAACATCTGAGACGCTCGGCCAGGCCCAGCCTCCCTTCTACCCCTCTGGGGCCCTTCAGCTCTCCTCTTCCCACCATCGTCCACCGCAGGGCCCCCTCCCAGCCTGGACCCGGGCAGCCTCAGCGCCCTGCACTGTCCCCTGGGAGGGAGCAGAGGCCGCAGAGAGGGGCTCACTTCTGGAAAGCCTCTGGCTCCCATAGAGGGCTGGGGGGCCTGCGGTACCCTTCAGGGGAGAGCGGACCCAGCAGTGCCACCTCCCAGGAACAGGCACCCAGGCAAGACCCAAAGCAGGGAGGCCGCAGCCAGGAGGTCCGGGGTGCAGCACCCACATCTCCCACCAGCTGGTCCCCCAACTCCACCAGGGCCCCCTGCCCAGGCCATGGCCCGGGTCCCTGTTCCCCGTTACAGGCGGGGCCCTGGCCAGCCGGCCTCTGTGACATAGCCGCTCATCTGTCGTTCGTGCGTGCTCCCCACCGGGAGGAGTCACCCTGAGCAGGACAGGAGGCAGGAGCGCCTCCAGGGGCGCGGGCGCTGCAGTGAGGGCGAGGTCCCTGCCCTCGAGAGGGAGGGCCTGGCCCAGGGGCTGAGGGATGGGCTAGCAGGGAACTCCAGAGGCCCGCGTTTTAGAAACTGTTCTGCCCCAAAGATCACTCTGGCTTTGCAGTGAATGTCGGTTCACCTTCCACGGTGGCAAGACCCCCACTGTTAAGATAGCAACCTGTCCTGACAGCTCCCTGAAGTGCCGTTCTGAGGTTTCCTATGTCATCCCCAACCAGGAATGACTGACAGGGCGCAGCAAAGAGAGGCCCCTCCTGCTGCCACACCCTCCCAGGGGGCAGCTCCATCTGGCCCCAGATCTCCGGTTCCTCCCAGCGGTTTTCCCTCAGGGCCCCAAAACTCCCCATAAAGCCCCTCGCTCTTGGCCTCCTGCCCTCAGCGGGGCCACAGACCCCGCACCCCACCTGGTCCCTCCGTCTTGGGGGGTCCTGACTGCTCCATCTGCAAAATGCGAGCAAGTGGGACAGGGAAGAGATCTCTCCACGCTCCCTTCCCTGGGGCTGCCCCTCTCTGGCAGGGAGGACGGACGGGAAGGGACCCTGGACATGAGAGACGGACGGAGGGAGGAGGGGAGGTGGCACTTGTGAGCCCCAAGTTCGGAAAGACGGGATGCGGGCGGGGGCCAGGGCGGTGTTTGGGTGGCACCTGGTTTGGGTCTTTTGCCGAGCTGGTCCTCCCCGGGTGTCAAGAGCTGCTTGTCAGATCACAATAGAGGGTATGTGGGGAGAGGGGGGCGGCCGGGAGGTGGGCAGGGGAGTCTGGACAAACCGGCACATACACGACAGATGTTTGCTCAGAAAAATACAGGAAAATCATCATGCAAATATAAGAGGGAATCTGCTTTCTCACACCGCTGGCTCCGCCCCTGCTTGCTGTCCTCAGTTTTGCCAATCGGTGTGAGGAGGGGTTGGGAGCAGGTGTGGGGAGGTGGGGGAGGTCTTCTCTGCATATTCATGCTGGCCCCTCCCGTCCCCTCCCAGAACAGTCCTTTCTTTGTAACTGTCACCCCAACGTGAGCCCGGGCTTAGTCCGTCCCCCAAGTGGGTGTGAGAGAGGCCCTCGGTGGAGCCCCAATTCCCCCGTGGCCCCCCACTGTCCCCCTGGCAGGGAGGTCGCAGAGCCCCCACCCAGGGGGGCACTGGCTTTGCTGGTCAGAGCCCTCCACACAGTACAGGTCTCGGCCCACCCCAGCGCCCGCCCTCCCCCCAGTCACACTTCCCAAATATCAAGAAAGCCAACTGGGTGACAAGCCAGAGGCCGGGGTCCCTGGCAGGGGCGTGAGGAGGGCTGAGTAGCTGCGCCCTGCCCTGAGGTGTGTGCAGAGCCGGGGGCACGATGGCAGGTGGGCCAAGCTAGACTTGTCCTCGCTCACCGACCAAAGGCCAAGGGACAGCTGGCTGACCCCTCAATGCCCGGACAGTGTCCGGGATCCCAGACCTGTCCCAGAGCTCGCCCCAAGCAGCCCCTAGCTCATGAGCAAGGCAGCTGCCCTCTGGCCCTGCCCTGCCTCGCTGCCCTCACTGGAGTTCTCCAGAACCCCCAGGAGCCCAACGGTCCTAACTGCCAGGCTCTGGGTCGCCATGGTGACAGAGGCAACCAGGGACAGGGAGGGGCCCCACAAACCCAGCCTGCTCCCCCCCAGCAAGGGGGGTGCTCACTGTTTGTGCTTTGTTCGATGTTGGGTGGGGGTCAGCTAAGGAGGAGGGGCCGTTTCCATATGTCGATGGAAATATGGGGGCCGCTCGGGCCCGGGGGAGGGGCAGCCGGGAGAGGCGGGGTGTGAAAGCCTCCTTCCTGCAGGCAGGCTGAGGTGCTGCCCCAGGATCCCACGAATGGGGGTCAGACGGGTCGGAGGTCGGGATGGAGGGGCACCTGCCTCCCCGCGGCTCCCAGGCATCACAGTTCGCGGCTGCCCCCCTGGGATGAGCTGGGGTCCTGGGGACCCAGGGAGCTGGGGCTCAGGAGTGAGGCCTGCATCTGCGAGGCGGTGGGAGCTGGCCCCCCACACAGCTCAGACCCCGGAGGGAGCTCCCAGGCTACTTGGAAGACACGTGAAGGGGCTGGTGGAACGACCCCGTGCCTCTGCTCTTTTCCTGGGTGCTGACAGGGGCGACGAAGGGCCCCCCGCATGATGAATGCCAGCCACAGGCTCTGAGGGCATGGCCATGGGGCTTTCTAGAAAGAAAAGGCACCCACTCATTCTCAAGTCCCCAGCCCCAGGAGACCACAGCTGGAAAGGGGTGGTGGGTGGATGGAGGATGGGAGCCCCAGGGGACCCACTGGAGGTCGGGGATAGCACTGGGCTTCCGACTCTAACTGACTCTAACCTGTCCCGTGACCCTGGGTCATCACCTCCTTTCCCTGGGCCTCCGTTTCCCCATCCATAAAGGAAGGAGACAACGCCCAGTGTCCACCTGGGGCTACATCTCCTGTCCCCCAACAGGGGACCTCCCCCTGCTGCAGGCTCCTTTGCCCCCAAACCTGTCCCTAGGCCCAGAGCCCCAGGCCCCACCCTCCTTGGGCCTCCTCGCCGGCCCTCCCGCCCACCCAGCCCCGCACACCCCAGCAGAGTCCCTGGGCAGCACAGTAAAGTCGCCTGGTTTCGGGATCTGTGTAAACTTTAAGGAGAACGTGTCTTTGTTTTCCTGTCCCTTATTGTCGGGTGGTGGTTGTCACAGTCAGGTGGTGGTCAGGTGTGTGCGTGGGTGCGTGCGTGTGGGTGTGCGTGTGCGTCCGTCCACTC